CTAAATTTTGATGAGCAATTTGATGGACTAATCCATTTATTTCCACAAGGTCCATTGGGGTGGGTACGGGGGGGCCCTTGGTACTTTGCGTGTGTAACTTTTTCATCTTTGACTTTTTAACAAATTGGACAGCAAATTCCGTTTTCCCGAACTGTTTTACGTTAAAAAGGTACTCTTGTTTCAAATCGTTATCTTTAACGGTTTCTGAGAAAATCGCTCTTGAATTAATCCCACTTTGGTCAATTTCATAGTAATTTAAACAAAAAATAATAATATTCCTTTCCTCTCTTTTCCATTTAAAGGATTAATTTTTATTTAATTTAATTTTTTATTATTATTTTTTTATTAAAATTAGATGAAATTTAAACAAAAAATTTTTTTGTTTAAATTACTATGAAATTGACCAAAATGGGATTAATTTTTTACTTAGTTTTGATCATAGAATCGGCCTGTTCAGGGTTGGCAGCTAATTATGAGACACCCTGTATAGAATTTTCTCGGAAATCCATGTTTCAAATTAATTTTGTAGTTTAGGTTTCTTGATTCTGTACAACTTTTTTTTTATCTGAACTTTTTTTCTGTATTATGAGTAACAAGGGAGTTATTTTACTTTCTCACACTAATGGCCTACCCTGTATGTATTTCTAACTAAACAAAGAAGCATACTGATAACATTAAAAAAATGATACCTTATATTTACTGTTTTTGCAATTAAGTATATCTAGATTCATTATGTGTATATGTACACGACAGTACGTTAAAATATTACTTAATGAATATAATTGCGGTATATAATGTGAAGTATTTTTAAATTAGTTAAATTAGTTGTAATCACGAATTCCTTTTCTGCGAGTATTATTTACTGGTGACTTAATAGTTACCTTAATTTCGAAAATATTGAGAATCTTCTGTAAATAATATCGAATTTAAGCGAGAAAATAAACCTCAATTTTATACACGCTGTTGTTAACAGTAACCTCTAACCGAAGTTCTGTGCTTGAATTATTGTTTTTTTCTTACAATCCAGTATCTAGTTGATTGAAAACTAGAACGTTTACGCAATAACTAAAACAATTAAGGTGTTATTAATATGTCTCTTTGACAAAGATCAATTACACAATTATAGGTACAATTTACGCGAGATCAAGAAGGTAAATCTAAACTGGGTGTAAAAGTTAGATTTCAACAAATGAAATATATTATCTGCGAGGGAAAATCAAATAGTTATACGAAAATTATTTGAACAAAGCTTGCGGGCACGTCATTGTTGCCGAATGGCATTTTAAAGTAATCATTAAGAAGGAGACATCCATATAAAATTTCGTTAGTGGCGAAAAAAATACTTGCATCATATATGAGGTGTTATAATCATAATATTATCCGAATTGGATGTCATCAGAAACTCATTAAAGTACGAGGGAATATTCAAAGAACAGTTGCAGTCACAAAATGCACCGGTGATAATGAGGCAATCGCTAAAAAGCTTTTTGGTAAACAGCATCCACAAGCTTGCTTATGGTTAAGTAGACTAAATGAATTATGCAGCAAAAAATAACGCAGAAAGAATTTATCTTGTAATAACGTTATGAAACAATTGACTGTCTCGACTACAATAAAATTCACGTTTTTCATTATTTTAAACCAAAATAAAAAAGTATTTAAATTTACGCAGTAGAGCCTAAAGTGAAGTTTACGCATTGATGCGTAAACCGTTTTATATTTTAATTTAAATCCAGATGGTCCAAATAATAAAAAAAAACTCTAAACAAATGTCTGAAAACATATTTTTTCAGGTTACAAAGTAATGAAATTTGGAAAAAACACACTTTCTAAAATATCTACAAAGTTTGATTATCCACAGTATTTGGATATAACCATTTAATAATATATCAGTGCTAGATATACCTACTGGGTTTGACTAACCTACTATTACCGCTAAGAATGTCAGTAATTCGACATCACTGAGATTTTAGAGAAAATAATAAATATTTGTTATTGTATTATCACACAAATTATACAATATTTAAAGAAAAATTTTAGAACATTTTCAATTGAACTGCAAACAAGGAAGCTACTGCCGATTTTTAATTTTTTTCTGAATAAAATCCAAATCAATAGCGATTTGAATCGTTTTCTTAATGGTATGTTTTCATCATTGTTCTATTTCGCCCATTTCAGCTTTTCTATGCGCATATGCTCAGAAACTATCAAAGGATTAGGATTAGAATTATGATTAAAGGATTAAGGATACAAAAACGGAAACGGGAATCATTATAGCAGTTCAATAATGAACATATGAGGCAGGTAGTTTTAAATAAAGACCGATTGCAACTGAAATTACAAAAAAAATCCATGGAAAATTGGGAAATTTCTGATATTTCCAAATCATTTCCAGATCTGCGAACATTTTTCCATTTTTCTTACTATAATCACCGAAATTGAAATTCCGTTTTAGGCTATTGCTTATATCCAAAAAAAACAGGGTTGCAATTTTATTGCATGCATCGTTTAAAGGATTATTTTAGATGAAAAAAACCGCGGAGTGCTATTAAATTAGAGGGTGGAAATTGCAGAGATAGGGGTGAAAATGCACCCCTTTTAGTTTTTTAATTGTAGTTCGAAAACGAAGCAAAATTTCGCTATAGTTCATAGGTTAAATTATTTAAAGAATTGAATTAATTGAAGAATTGAAAAATTTTATGCAAAAAATCGTTAATAAACATAGGCATTGCTTCATAAAAAAAGTAGATAAAATTTACTTCAAAAAAAGAGTTTGTACAGTATTTTTAGATGAGAATCGACTGACCTATGGCCGCTCAAACCAAGTTTCCGATTTTCGTCTTACACGTTTTAATTTTCATTTTTTGCAAAAAGGGAAATATTCGTTCAAGGATTTTCATGACATGACTTGTTCGTAGGGTCATTAAAAATGAAAAAACCGCGGGGTGCTATTAAATTGGAGGGTTGAAATTGAAGATAGGGGTGAAAATGCACTTTTGCAGTTTTTTAAATATAGCACGAAAACGAAGCAAAATTTCGGTATAGTTCATAGGAAAAATTTTGTAGAGAATTGAATTTCCCATCGAAATGGTTTATTA